ATTTGTGAACTTTCTAGTAAAATAAAATCTAGTCTAGCTCTGCTGAAACTTAAGCTCCTAGTAGATACTGCAGATACTCTATTCAACCCCCTACGCTGACATTTTGTAATTCTAGTGACCTTTTTGTAATGGAGGGCAGCGTTGCCAATCCTGGGGCTTGAACTGAGAATCTGAGCACTGTCTCTGAGCTTTTTGCTTAAGGTTAGTGCTCTACCACTTGAGCCACAGCTCTACTTCCAGTTTTTTGGAGATAAGAATCACAGGTACTTTCCTGCTGGGGTTGGCTTTAACTGAGGCCCTCAGAGGCCCTCTAAACCTTCCTGAGTAGCTAAGATTACAGATGTTGAGCCACTGGCTCCTGGCTTCTGGTGACTTTTTAAATTGCTACTCTTCAGTTAATTAAGTCAATTAAATTCTTCAATGTTACACCAAACATCAGGTGGGCTCTGCTGTTTGCAAAACTGTGACATGTGTTACTATAGGACAAGTTGGCTGATCTCAGAAAAAGTATTCCATGGAAATTGCAAGTGTATTAGAACTAGGAGTGAAGAGGGATCAATATTGAAACTTTTTATGTTGGTGTTAACAAGCCAACAATAGATTTTGCCTCTGAAAGGGAGGCTTCACATTTAAGTTTGGCATTTTACACAATGACTATAATGGCTCTGTCAACGATTCCTGGGAATCAGGAACAGAGGCCATAGTAAGAAGAAACATTAAGTTACATTTCCAGAAATAGAGGGTCTTCTTTAAAAAAAAAGTCTGCTGCTGATTTCAGAGTATATCAATTTTCCACTTTCTCTTTTGATGTTTTGTAACTCCAGCTAAAAGTGAGGGGCATCTAATAACCTTTGTGCCTGTTTCCGGGCAGTGTCTCTGCACCTTAGAACAGGATTATTTAATTGAATAAACTGTTTACAAATACAAGGAAGAGTGCTGGTGTCCCACAGGGTTCTTTCTAGTCTCCTGAGAGTTTCCTGCTGTGCTGCTCCTGAGCGAAGGCCTCTGTCACTTTGGAGAGGAGCTGTCTGGTGTAGATTTGGCATCAGTACTTCCACACTCAAGCAGCAACTAGCTGAATTGTTTTCCCCTTAATTCAGCCCTAGCAGCATTTAGATTTAATTCATGACTTTCTGAGAGGGAAAACCCACAGAGTTCCCTTCATTTAGGAAAAATGAAACAACCTTTTGCATTCCAGTTTGACATAATTAAGAATCAATGACCACTGTTCTAATATGACACATGTAAAATCATATATATAAAACAGTTGGGAACGGCTCATTTCATGCCACCCCTCCTCATCATCTCCTTGACTCTAAATTTTCTCCTCCTGTTTTTTTTTTAACTACCCAGGATAATTGTTGAATAATTGTTGTTAAGAAGCATGCATAATGAATTTTGAATATTACCACTAAATGAAAGTTGATATTGTACAAACATATTGAAAATTAAAAACCAGTGATATGACACACCAACTTACAGGAAATAAATTGAGATATTTTCTTCTTTGATGCAACTAACACAGAAGTTTTCTAGGCATAGGTAATTTCAGAGAACATAATCACTTCACATAATCTCTTGCTTTTTGATTCATGTGTGACTCAAGTGTCTAAAATGTGTAATATTTCGTGGAGAGTATTGCTGTGCCATTATAATTGTAAATATTTTATGACTAGAAGAAATGTTAGCTTCGTATTTTATATGTGACTGGCACAGTGGCCTTTAAAAAGAAACTGTATCATCCCACCCATCAAACAGCATGAGAGAAATGAATTTTACCTATCTCTTAATAATTGATAACCAAAACACATGGAAACAATCTTAAGTAAAACTCTTCTTGATGCCTTTCTCAAAGAAAAGGAAATCAAGGATATAGGACATGCAAGCTGTTCTTGTCATTTGGCTAACAAATTGATCGGCTAGGATTATAGCAGGGAATTAATCTCTAAAGGTATATGGTTTGTGCTAAAACAACAGAGTTTGGGGCAAATGACTGAATGAATAAAAAGCTGTGTATTCAAAGACTTAAATTTGATTAGCTATTTTATGGGGTAACACAACAGCTGTAGGTCACATCGCTGTATTGGAACAAGGATCTTAAGTATCCAACTGTCTGTCTCTAACTTAATCTCTCCTTTTCAAAGCTAAGAATAATTGTAGCATTCTCCTGGCTAGCAGGCAGTTTTGTTGAATATAAAAGCTTTTTGAATGGGTAAAAAGTTCAGATGGAACACTGTACTCTCTCAGTTTTCATGGGAAAGGAAGTAACAAGGAAATGCTTCCATCAATGTTATTTGCAACTTTACCCTATATATTCAAACGATTACTTTAAAAAAATTACCCTTTTTCAAACCACAGTTTTAGATCACAAAACCCAACCAGATTCTAGAATAGGAAAACTGGAAGTACTTGTTACTGGTTATTATCTAAAACTGTTATTCTCTGTGTGTGTTATACTTGCAGTCCATGTATGTGTGTGACTTAGGAACAGTGTATGCGAGTATTTTTCAATAGGAATCTGTGTATGTGATTTACACATCAGTTCTATAAAAATTTGGGATATTTAGAAAACGAATTCTTCTTAGTAGGGGAGTGACATTCTACCCTAGCCTACCCTATTTAGGAGATGGAAAAAAAGCTCTCTAATCCCCCTCCCCTCCAAAAAAGGCTACAAAATAGCAGCCTAGCCAAACAAAGAAGATGGGGCCTTCAAACAATCTTGTGAAGATCAAGCTAAACTAAAATGGAAACATCTGTCCATTCAGAAACAGGGCTGTCATTCTACCCTTCAACTGTGTCACAGCCAGAGCTGGCTCCTCCCCACTTCCCCTGCACTGTGTTCCAAGAATGTCTTACATGCCCAAGAGTGTCTTACATGTAAATTCTTCCAGAGAATGTAATGGTCCAGCAGCTATTACACACAATTCTTTCATATGCTTGAATGAACAGTAGACTCTTAATCATTTTCTCTTTGCAACTGTGTTCTTGTAGGTTGCATTGTCAGAGGGAAAAATTGGAAAGTAAGCCTTAATGTCTGCAATTTTGCAGATAAATAGGAATATAGTACTGATAATTGAGCAAGCTCCCATCAGATTAGAGCTGGTTAGATCATTCAGAAGGAACATTTCTGCCCTCATCATAGCAACCTCTATCATGATAAACCCCAAACTCTTTTAATGTTGCTCTTTTAATGGCTGTAAATTTGGCCCTGAGTTGGGTCTAGAAGGATCAGGAACCAATTACACAGAAGAAGCCAAGTAAACAGATTTCCCCCACATCAAATTTTAGTAGACACTTTTCCATTGGAGGACTTTTTTTTTCCCGATCAAACATTCTTAGGTTCAATGAAATAAAATAGTATTTTTAAGGAATTGAGATCTACAAATACCCACACCTAAAAGACATTTTAAAAAAGTGGTAATATTGTCAGTGAGTAACAAGGCATGTTCATATGTTGAATAAATCTTACAATGTGAAATGATAAAACAATACAGGTCAAAATGTGAAACATATTTAGCATAAATATACTGCATGGAGAGGGAGAAAAAAGATAAAACAAGCTATATAGTCACCTAAATTAATTTACAGGAAAAGACGTTTCTAAAAGTCCGCAGATGAAGCAAGTGCAGGTAATCTATAGGCAGGGAGTGCATGTGAGGTAATTCGAGTGGCTGCAATGCACTCTGGACTGCTTTGCTAATTGTCCCAGGCAAGATGAATCAAACTGCTTCAGAAAAGTAAGGCCTAGTTGAGTATTTGGGTAAAGGCCCCCCCCTTCAATCAGCTAGTCATGAAGTGGCAATCATTGTATGCTTTTTGAAAGGATGGTTGATCATGCTGTAGAACGGGCTGGCTGCTGAGATAGTGGTCTTCTATGTCTCCTCAGCCTTCTCTGAGTTTACTGAATTAGGTCCTCAGGATGGTGAGAGAGAGTATCATTTTTGTTTTGTTTTGTTTCAGAAGCATCATAGGATGATTCCTTGATTTTTTTTAAACAAAAATTGCTTGAACCTTAAAATAGTTACAGAACTTTTTTTTTTTTTTTACTTCAAAGAATTCTCAGTCCCCACTCCACACAAGATACTGTGAAGGGGCACTAAAGTGCATTTTGATGTAGGGGGTAGAGTTTAAAGGTGCTGTCCAAGCTAAGAACCAAGATGACACTGTTGTTTGTTTCAAAAAATTGAAAAAAAAAACAAGAAAAGAAAAGAAAAAGAAAGGCAATTCCTTCTACCTTCGTCTGGGAGACAGCTGAGGGAAGGCAGCAAACTGGGCCCTCCCTAGAGGATTGTCCTAAGTCTTAACTTGAGAGAAAACTGTGTAAAGACCTGCACATATAGATTCATTTATGTGTCCAAAATAGCAAAAATAGGCCTTTTTCATCCTTAAGAAAGTATTTGCAAATATGTTCAGTCATGTTCATAAAAACGGGAGTGAATTCCCGATGCAGTCCATGTGGGCATGCTCTGTGGTGCTAGCTATGTTTGTATCTTCAGCTTGCAGGAACGTGCTGCTGCTCATTTGCAACGAAACATGACTCCTAAACTACCATAAATAAAATACACATGAGACAAGTAAATCATGTTTTGACAATAATTACTTTTACGTGGAAAAAGTCACCTTCATCTTCAGATATATCGAAAATTAAGACTTTAAAATCTTATTATTTTTCTAGTTTTAGTTAACAATCTTGCACAGGCCCGTTATTCCAAAACTTGGAGCTCTGATCTGCACAGTTTGGCAGGTTTCACACAGTTTGACAGGTAGGCAACTGTGAGATATGCATTTCTAAAATGTAGCATATTCTATCAAAACAGTCTGAAATCTTTTAAAATCCCCATACCGACTCTATTTGTGCAATGCCATACTTAGGAAGCTAGAAAGGAGAAAAGAAAATGCCTGGAAGATTAATCACAGTCCGAGTTTTCTTAGTCTTCTGTTTAAATAACAATGAGCCTAGGAGATCCAATTAAATACAGTGCCTTAAATAGGAGAGGAGCTGGTCCTATAATAGAATAAATTAAGCAACTAGACAGGAACAGTTTCCACCACGGGTGATTTGATGCACTCTTCATGCAATCTGCTCTTTTCTGCAAGGCTCAAAGAATTTTCAGCAGGATGCTCTGAAATATGACTGTCACCATTCAATGTGGAGACAAATGCTTCCTGGGAAGGGCCTTTCAAGTATGAGTGAAATTCTACTTGCGGATGATTAGACCTGTGCTCAGGATACAAGCTATTGCAGGGCACCCCGTTTTCATTTTCAGAAGAGGAGCAGCAAACGATTACAGAGGGGTTGGCAGCTGGGTAGTGGGAAGCATTATAGGCCTCTTCTGCTTGTCGGGCATAGTCAACAAATTGCTCTGGGGTCATGGTATAAGGCACCAACGAAAGGGTACCATTTTTTACAGTGTCTCTTTCAGAATAGTTCTCAGAGATCTGGCTAGGAGTTCCTGGAATATGGTTATCTATTTGGTAATACAGAGTTGAAGAGTTGGCATAAAAAGAAGCATTTTTTGTGTGGCTTTCATGAACAGCAGTGCCATCAGAGTAACAAAGGACTGAAGGGAGAGGGACAACTTCAGCATGGGTGCCCAAACCTTCCACAAAGCTGTCTCTTTTGTCCTCTTCGTCCTCCTCTTCCTCCTCCTCCTCTTCTTCTTCCTCTTCTTCCTCCTCCTCTGATTCACTAGGGGCCAGGCTCTGTGTGCTGGAATCGGTGACTCCACTGCAAAAGCTGCTTCCGTCCTCCTCCTCTTCCTCCTCTTCCTCTCCTTGGCAATCTAATTCCTCAGCTGACTGCAGGTGCAGCACTGCAGCCTGAGGTTCAGTCTCAATCTCAAAATTGTCTGCAATGGCATAGTCTACAGAATGGGCAACAGGGCCCATGGCACTGCTGTGAGCACTTAACTCACCGTGGCAGCCATTCAGTGTGGATATTTGCTGCTCTCGGTTTTTCTCCAGTTCAAGTTTCATTATGGTGTGCAAAAAATGAGTCCGGACACGGATAGGATTAAATTCAATTCTACCTGCTGTGTTACTACATCCTTCTTTAGTGCAGCCACATGGAAAAGACATACGATCCACCTTGGAAGGAAGAACACAGATTAGTACTAGGGATCTACTATAAACCACATACAAATCTAATACCTCTCAACCACCCTTTTGAATTAAGTTATCCAACTCAAGTCCACTCATGCCAGAGCAAATGACAGTCCAACTGCAAATGGAAAGGCAAGGGGAAATAAAGACTTGAGTCATGAGCGTTAACTCATCTTTAAATCAGTATTTTTAAAGGATTTTTAAGTGTCAGTGCATATTTTTATTTAATTGACCTCCTTCAGTGCTTGCATCAATTTCATTCACCTCTGTGATACCACTTTCATGTTTAAGCCTTGGAGCTCTGCCTTCCCTCCTTCCTCCATTGGCATACAAACTTCTTGAGAGAATCAGATATATTTTTAATTGAAACTCCAGAACTATGAGTGATTGGTCTTTTGACCTGAAGTGTGTTCAACAAGTGTCATTGGACTGACCTCTTCACTTAGCTGGGTAAGTATAATTCTGAGCAACCTATAAATATTCTTAGGATATTTGTCAATGGCTTAGACTCTGCAGACCTGCCTGTAGGCAGACCAGAATGCAAGAAATAGAGAAATTAAGTCCCGCTTCCAATTTTTCCAAGGATAGGGAATTTCCTGGGCTTTAGAGAAGGGTGATTCTCATGAAGTTACTGTGATTTTCTTTTTTTTTTTGGTCGGTCGTGGGACCTGAACTCTGGGCCTGGACACTGTCTCTCAGCTCTTCAGCTCTAGGCTAGCACTCTACCACTTGAGCCACAGCCCCACTTCCAGCGTTTTCTGCTTATGTGGTACTGAGAAATTGAAGGCAGGGCCTCATGCATGCAAGGCAAGCCCTCTACCACTGAGCCACCTTCCCAGTCTCATTACTGTGATCTTAACAAAAACAAGGTGACTGTGGCAGAGAATCACAAACTCAGGGTCAAACTTCCCTGGGCAACTTGCTTTCTGTTTTAGTTCAGTCAAAGGGAGCTTGCCAAGTATGTTTAGTCTCTAGGCTTTGCCTACAGTCACACACACACACACACACACACACACACACACACACACACACGGCAGATGTCAGAGCCAATATATATAGCAGTTAATGTTACTCATATATCTGTTTTCTGCAACCTTATATACCTGGGCAGCTGTTCAGCTGATGAGATCTGAACTCCTTTTTTAACTGCTTTAGTGGCTCTCTTCATTGAAAAACCTGTGTCTGCATACACTAAGAGTAGCTGTAGATAGTAACCAGAGATTCATTTTGTCCAGAGATTGATATACTTCTTTCTTTTAATCAGTTTAGCCTTTAAGGTGTATTTTATTTTGTTGTTGTTGTTGGTGGTGGTGGTGGTTTGGGGTTTTTTTGGTGGTGGGAGGGGAAGAGTCTTGGAGCTTGAACTCAGGGTTTGGGCAATATCCTTGAGCTTTTTTGCTCAAGGCTATTATTTTTGAGCCAAACTTCTACTTCTGGCCTTTTGGTGGTTAGTTGAAGATAAGAGTCTCATGGATTTTTCCTGTCGGAGCTGATGTCAAACCATAATCCTCAGATCTCATCCTCCTGAGTAGCTAGGGTTAAGGCATGAACTACCAGTGTCCAGCTAACCTTTAAGTTTTAAAACATATAATCAGCCAGATAAGAATGGTAGGGGATAACTTCCAACATTTGTCAATAAGCTCAAAATTTAAGTTCTTCATTGGAGTGAAACAGTTTTTTCTGTTAATCAGATTATTCTCAAGTTATAATAATTCTCTTTCCATGATTTTCTTCTCGTATATTCCTCTACTCAATTTTGGCTGGCACAATCAGACAGACACAAAGTAAGATGGCACTCTACATGCTAAGGAACTCTTAGCAGCAGGAGTAATGGCTATAGTAAACTGTGGATCTATGCATTCCTATTACCTCTCTCAAAAGGGTAAAAAATAGATACTTTAGGCTTTAAGGGCCATATGGTCCCTGTGATACTACTAAACTGTGCTGCAGAAGTATGAAAGCAGTCCCAGACATGAGGAAAATTAGCAAGCAAGCAACAGACAGACAAAATGGCAAAACCCCAATAAATCTTTGCGTATTAAAAACATGGTCAGTTAGATTTAGTCTGTGACTAGATAGTTTGTCAAACACTGGCCTCATCTAGCCTATATATTTAGAGATAAAGAAACTGAGCTCAGGAGGTTTACCTGTTTGCCCATTTCAATCAACTGGGAAATACCAAACACAAGAGCACAATTTGATTTTTTTAGGTCTAGATTTAGTAACTTCTCTCCTAGTCCATTCTGCCCCTAATGATCCATTAATCCTCATGAGTTCAGGTCTAATCATTTTCCCCTGAGTCCATTTTGCCTCTAACCAATCATCACACCTTGTTGATGAATCAGAAAATACAAATATAAATGTTAGGAAAGCCATGTTCTCCCTCCTTGAGCATTTTGAGAAAAGCTACAATAATCTGGTTTAACAAATTATTTCCAAGAGGAAACAATTTCAACTCAGTTAGCTGTAGTTTGGGTTGCCTTTCAAAGTTTGTCTCCCATACATAAAAATTTTGTCAATGTTCTTGAGTTAGCATTTCTTTCCCCCTTGTGACAAAGTTTTCTTTTCCACCCATTACATGCATCATGAAAATCTCAGGGCATGAGATACTGCAGTCCAGGATCCTTACCTGACACTTAATGCCCGCAAGGCTACAGGTGCAGGTTTCTGGATCACAGAACACTCTGCAGTCACAGCCACAGTCCTCTCGTGATAGACGGATAGCCCTCAGCTCATGCTTTTCTTCAACGTCGATCTTTTTCACTCCAGAAGCCCGCAGCAGAGCTCTTCGCTTTTTTGTCGGCAGAGGTTGTAGGAAGAAGTATTCATCTACTTCTGTGTTGTCTAAATCAATATCATCATCAGAAATGTCATCTACTGTAAGAGTGCTGGCCTCTTCAGATTCTACCGTGCCATTCTTAGTCATCTAGAAACACAAGGCAGTAAATCAGAGACATCACATGGGCTGGGTGCAAAATTCCCATTTCAGCCCATAGTGAGAGTAGGCCAGTACACATCATCATGTTCCATAACCAGTATATGCTTGTGAGTTCATTCATTTCTTTTCTTATTTTATATTTAGAAGTCACAAATAAAACAAAGGCATCAGAATGATAGGCTTTTAAATTTTTACTTGTTCAGAAAACAATGGAAGGGTGACTTAAAAAGTTACACCATGTTCAGAAATTGACACGTTGAATTGAAATCCCTTTGTACGACTTCTTAAAGAAGACAGAACATTTTTAATGTACTGTTTACAGAAGACTGCTAATTAGAACTCCTAAGCTCCTAATGTCAGTACTTACAGTTTGAGCTCGGGACAGTCAAATGAGTATTTACTCATTTACCAAAGATGCCAGGCATCCATCACTGAAAGCTCTGTTTAAACTCAGTTCATGATGGGCATTTCTGATGTTAGAATAAAGGTGTTCTGGTGAGAATGGCAAACATAATGTCCTTGAAGTAATGAGTCTGTCTTTCAGGTTCCAGAAAAAAAAAAAAAACTATACACACAGGAAATAGTTATGTTGCACTGTGCTATTGGGATTACAAACATGATTATCCCACAGAACATTCCAAGAATGAAGCTTGATATGAAGCAATCAGTCAGGACGATGTGCTCCTAGGAAGACAAGGACTGAGGGCAGTGCTGGCTCATGTTGTGCAACCTACAACGAAACAATAAACCTGGTCCTCAAAGGAGTTCATGCTACCTTAGCCCAAAGCCAGACCTTCTTCTGTACAATAGCTCATGAAGACAACTGTTTCTCACATACTGTGACTATCTGGCTTCTCTTTATTTTCTTCTCTAAATTAATCTCATCTATCACTAAGCCCTGAATCAGTATTTCTTTCTTATTCTTACCACCACATCTTGTTTCCTTCATACAAAACCATCTAGAAAGAGATGATTTTCTATATGAGCAAGATATTTTTTCCTGAGGAGAAGTACAGCAATTACATAGGAAATAAATCATGAAAGTTTTAAATACAAAAGCTATTTTATTTCAATGTGTTAATTCCTATTCTTCATCAGTTACAATGGTTACTACTGTTTGATAATCTTAATAATAATAAACACAACTGTTTATTGATCTTCAATAAGTGATCTTCAATAAATAGTTAAAATACTCTATTGACTTCAGACATCATTCACTTATCATCATAGGGGAAAAAATCCAACATTTCAATAAGAATATTACAATTGAGTATATTAAAGAACAAACAGAAGATTAAACTGTTTCCTTTGTAGTAGAAACAACACAGGAGCAAGTACATAGTAAAAACACATTACAAAGGGTCTTGAGATGTACTGTCAAAAATCACTTAACTACATTTGTTAGTATTTCAGAATTTTAGAGCTTAAATCTATGCCCTTACAAAGACAGGCATTCCTCTCTTTGTTTCTTGGCTTGCTCCTTTTTATGTAGTCCTTTGTCATTTCTTTTATTACTGTTATTGCTGATATTGGGTTTGAACTCAGAACCTGCTAAGCTGGTACAAAATTACTGAACCATACCTCTATTCTTGTACGTATATCATTGGTTAATTAGATAGATCACATTTTGCCTGCCAGATGCACTCCTGATCTGTGATGCACTTACATTAGGGTTCACAGTTAATGAGATCAGAGGCATATACTGCCAAGTCCAAATTCCCTCCATGGAGATGAAATCTTTCAGACTTCTCTGCCAGGTCTGGCTTGGTTTCACATTCCTCCCAAACACAGTCTCTTATGTAGCTTAGGAAGACAGGCTTGTGCCACTGAGCCCAGGAATAAATTGAGAAGGGCTTTCAAAAGCTTACCTGCTCAGGGTGGCTTTGAACTCAAGCAGCTAGAATTAAAGGTGTGAGTAGTATTTCTTTTGGTATATTTCTTATAATTACCGCGTGCTAACCGATTGCGCCACTGGAGCTCCATGGTATATTTCTTTATATATACATCCCACTACTAAAATCTTGATTTTATGTTGTTATAACTTTTGATAATTCCTACTTTCCTACTAAGCAGCACATTTCTATCTGCAAAGATTTGATTTTCTAAGGGATGTAAGTGTATAATTACCTAATATACTCAGTCTCTGTAACAAGTAAAGCTGTGTGGATAAGCAAGAGTTCTCTTTCCCATCTTTTCACTCTTAGGCACTCAGATTTATTTAAATTAGTTCTTCGCTTGCTTATGTAAATTTCAGCAAGCATCTGACTCTGTGGCACATGAAGACAGAAGGAATTTGATTAGTATGATTCATTTTAGTACTTTCTTCCTACTTCCATATTCTATGAATGTTTATGTTTTTGTACAATTAGTAGTACTACAAAAGCAAAACCTTTGATTTCTGTCAACAGGGCTAGAACTCTTAAAATATTGCTATTGAAACAATACATGGAATCTAAAAATGAATGCAAAGAGATTTCAGCAAAGATGTGAGATAATTGTATCAAAAATTTTAGGGAAGAATCAGGCACCAAGAAAGCTGAGATCTAAGGATGACAGTTCAATGCCAGCCCAGGCAGGAAAGTCTTTGAGACTTTTATTTCCAGTTAACCAGCAAAAATTTAGAAGTGGAAGTTTAGCTTAAGTGGCACAGTACTAGCCTTGAGCAAAAAAGCCAAACAAGAGTATAAGAGTTTAAGTTCAAACCCCTTGACCGGCACACCTACAAAAAGAGAGACAAAGAAAGGAAAGAAGGGAAAGAAAAAAGAAAGAAAGAAAGGAAGGAAGGAAGGAAACAGAGAGAAAGAAAGAGAGAAAAGAGAGAAAAAAGAAAGAAAAACAGAAAAAGAGAAAGAAACAGAAAGAAAAGAAAGAAAGGAAGGGAGGAAGGAAGGAAGGGAAGGAAAGAAGGAAGGATGGAAAGAAGGAAGGAAAGAGTAACATAAAAAACTGTCACCCAATGGTATAACCCCTGTTTTCACTGTATTTGATGTTGGAAAATTTGTGGAGAGGAAGAGAAAAAACAAATTGTTTAGATAGGGATACAGGTGGACCCATTGCAACAATAAGATGTACAAGACATCATGTTGAAAAATGAACTTCACAACCTTGGGTAGGGGGGAAGGGGGAGACACGGGGCGGGGGGAGGGAGATGGTAAGAGGTGGGAAGGGGAAACAAAGGAGGAGGCAACAATGCTCGATAAGAAATGTACTCATTACCTTGCTCATGTAATTGTAACCCCTCTGTATGGTATTTTCACAATAAAAAAATTAAAAAAATTGTCACCTACAATTTAAGAAAGAAATGACTTCATATTAACTACTAATTTGGTTTACCACAAATGAAAATGCCCATAGGAATAAAATCTACATCACTTATGTTCATGTATTTAAATTATAATAAATTTCTATTAAGAATCTAAATTCCTCTCTCACATACAGTAATGTATTGTTTCCACTTTTGTTTTGAAATCTACAGAAATCATAAGCTAGGCTGTCAAAAGCTGACATTAATGTAGACGCCACCTAGCAAGGGTCTGTCCTCAACTCTTTGACATCAATTCTATAGCAAGTGGCATATTCTAGCTCAGCTTGGCCAACTGGACCACCTTTCCCTTCTCTCAGCTGTGGCTGGTATGCTGGTTTTGAGACATGTACTCTCCTGTGCTCTAGGAAGCCTTGTCCTTTCCCTGGTATATGCTCATACTCTCCCTTAAAACCCACGCCCAAACTACTGAGTTTAAATGTTTTCAAGGGCTGGGAAGGTGGCTCAGTGGTAGAGCACTTGCCTTGCATGCCTGAGGCCCTGAGTTTGATTCCTCAGCACCACATAAGCAAAAAAGAAAAAAGTCAGAAGTGGCGCTGTGGTTCAAGTGGTAGAGCGCTAGCCTTGAGCTGAAGAGCTGAAGGACAGTGCCCAGGCCCAGAGTTCAGGCCCCATGACTGGACCCCCCTCCCCCCCCCAAAAAAAAAAGTTTTCAAATATAGTTTTCAAGACAATTGCAACATGAGAGAAGTCACTGATGCTCTAGTCTTTGTGTGTGTGTGTGTGTGTGTGTGTGTGTGTGTGTGTGTGTGTACGTGCACGCGCACATGTGCTGGTACCAGGGCTTGAACTTGGGGCCTGTGTACTGTTCCTTAGCTTTTTGTTCAAAGCTGGTGCCCTACCACGTAAGCTGTGGTTTCCCTTCTGGAGCTTTGTAGAAGTAAGACTTTGCTGCCCAGGCCGGCTTCAAACCAGATCCAGACCTCAGATCTCCTGAGTAATTTAAAAAACAGGTATGAGCCACAGGTGCCTTGAAGAGTGTTCTATTCTTGTTCACCAACTGATATCCATTATTATTTCAGTACCCAGTGCAATGAAATCAAAAGATGTCTTTTATGAGCCTGGGTAGCCCCACACACTGCAGGATTCTTTCTTCTATGAGTGTCTTTATTCAAAAGACCATCCATTTTATACAATATTTTATTCCTTCTTGATATGAGTGTTACCTCTGAATGTCTTTTCCTATCTGAAAATGGAATCATTGATGAAATTTTTCAACATAATCTCTCTAAGACACACTTACAGAGCCTAATTCCCTAACTCCTATTTCAACATATATTCCCTACATCTCCTAGCTAGATTATAAGGTTCCTATGATATTTGATAAAATGCTGGTACCCTTGCATGGAATTAAACATAAAGTGTCTAAAAATTTGTTTAGAAAATAACATAATCAGAAGGTTGGGAATGTGGCTGAGTGGCAAAGTGCTTGCCTAGCATACATGAAGCCCTGGGCTCAATTCCTCAGTACCACATAAACAGAGAAGGCCAGAAGTGGTCCTGTGGCTCAAATTGAGTGCTAGCCTTGAGCAAAAGAAGCTCATGGACAGTGCCCAGGCCCTGAATTCGAGCCCTACGACTGGGAAAAGAAAAGGAAAGAAAGAAAGAAAGGAAGATAGAAAGAAAGAAAGAAAGAAAGAAAGAAAGAAAGAAAGAAAGAAAGAAG